GTAGAGGAGTAGACATAAACATGCACAAACGAAAAAAACAAAGAAAAACAAAAAGCAGCAACAAACAACAAACAGCAGCAACAACTAACCACGTAAATAAATAAAGTCAAAATATATAAATACATTTCACAACAGAAAAAACAAAAATACAAACAGAGAAACGAAAGCCTGCGGTGTATCTGCAGCTCCTGGGGTGTATCTGCAGCTCCTGGGGTGTATGCGCAGCTCCTGCGGTGTATGTGCAGCTCCTGGGGTGTATCTGCAGCTCCTGGGGTGTATGTGCAGCTCCTGGGGTGTATCATGGTGTTTATCTATATTCAGCTCTCGTGGGGTGTATCTGCAGATGCTGGGGCTGGAGGAGACGATCCCAGGGCGGTGGATACGACGCGCAGCAGCCGGCTGCAGCAGAGCCAAGCAGCAGCGGGTGCTGCTGCAGCTGTTGCTGCTGCTGCTGCTGTTGCTGTTGCTGCTGTGTGTCGATGGTTGGGGTGTATGTATGTACACACCTGCATATACACCTGCTCATACAGATGGTGTATTTACACTGCATGCATACAACATTAATATTAAATTTATAAATAAACCTCTTGGGGTGTATCGACACATGCTGGGGTGTATATATAAGGGCTGTAGCTGCAGATACACTGCGGTGTATGTACACCTCACTAGCAACCGGGTGTTGTTTTTTATTTATTTGTCTCTTTCTTTTTTTATTCAAATAAAAACAATTTAAAATTAAAAAAACAACGAAAATATATATACATAGGTGAGGAGCATAGTACTAGCAGCAGCAGCAGCAACAGCAGCAGCAGCAGCAGCAGCAGCAGCAGCAGCAGCAGCAGCAGCAGACTCGAGGCTGCTGCTGTCGGTACACCGCAGATCCTCGCCGCCTGAAAATAAAAAACAAAAAAAAAGAAAAAAAAATAAATTTTTATTTAAAAAATAATATTTTTGCTTTTCATCTATTTAATAAAAATAAAACTCTCGTACCCTGGGGCCCCCCAAGGGCCCCCACACAGAACGTTACTAAACCCTAAACCCTAAACCCTAAACCCTAAACCCTAAACCCTAAACCCTCGGCCGTAAACCCTTGAACATCTGCCTCGTTGACGAGTTAAAGAAACCCACCGCGGACAGCCCGCTTGATGCTTAACCCTAGACCTAAACCCTAAACCCTAAACCCTAAACCCTAAACCCTAAACCCTAGTTGAAGCGTGTACACCGCCGGGTCCCCGCATTCCTCTCTAAATTTGCTGCTGTCTCAGTGACTGCAGCAGCAGCTGCTGCTGCTGCTGCAGCAACAACAGATCCAAGAGCAGCACAACAGCATCATCAAGGGTTGCAGCAGCAGCAGCAGCAACAGCAGCAGCAGCAGCGGGAGCAGCAGCAGGATCAGCAGCAGCGGCAGAATCATCATCAGCAGCAGCAGCACCAGCAGCAGCTAACCATCAGCAGCAGCAACATCTACATTACCGCCATCTTCCGCAGCAGCAGCAGCAGCAGCAGCAACAGCAGCAGCAGCAACAGCAGCAGCAGCAGCAGCAGCAGCAGGAGGAGTATAATCCTTAGCGATGTTTGGTGTGGGTGGTTTTGG